AATTACAAAGGGGAAAATGTACCTTTCCAATACAGATACCTGGTAGACCCATATTAGCCAAGAAATCAAACTTGGTATTATCAGTAATGGGATAAATTTATACTACTTCCTCCTGATATGAAGCAAAGGGAAAGACACACCATTACCTATGTAGTATTCTTGCTAAAACAAGTTGAGCCCCAATTTAATCATGAAAAAATAGTCAAGGAGATCCAGATGGTAGGGCATTCAGCACAATTGGCCCAGACTCTTAAAAACTCAATGTCATGACAGACAAAAAAAGATAAGGGAACTCTTCAAGATTAAAAGACGCTAAAGAGATATAGCATTCAAAAGTGATGCATGATCCTTGATTTAATCCTGGATTAGGGGTAAAAAGACTATCAGGGAATTTGGCGGGGGGCAGTTGCAGACTTTTGAATGTGGACTCTAAGGTAATATATCAACATGAGATTTCTTTCTTGTGATGGTGTCATGGTTATTAGGAGCAAGCATACCTTTGTTCTTGGAAGATACATGCTAACATTGGGGTGAAGTGTCGTGATACCTGAAATTTACTTTCAAATGGTTTAGCAAAAAATGTGATACATATATAGAGAGGTATATGTCTATATATGTAATGTGTATCACACAGAATGGAAAAAAAGTAAAAGACTGTTAACAATTGGTGAGTCTAAGCAAAGAGTAACTAAGTGTTCATGGTATTATTCTTGCAGCTTTTCTGCAGATTTGAAAAATTTCCCCTTAAAAGCTGACGGAAAATGAGGTAATGCAAATAAAATGCTTGGCTAATGCTAAGTGCTCAGTAAAGGTTGGGTCTTACACAAGAGTATAAACTTCATGACGGCAGGGACTTTTGTAGCCCTAGCACCTGCAACCTACCACATGGGATGGTACTCAAACATTTTTGAAACAAATCATTGAGAGGTTGTACTTTAGAAATGTAACATGAAAAAATATAATTGTACAAAATAACACCACAGGAAAATATATGGTTACATGAGACAGCTGTTTCTATGGTCTGAATATAACTGTGCCAGTTGCTTTGACTAAAATGTCTTCTCTATGTTTAAAAAATATATATATTAAAAAAATTTATACTAGAAAATCCATCTGCCCAACTGGGATGAGTTTAGTAGCTCATTTACAAGAAGTAATATACTCTGAGTAATGTCAGCGTGTTTGGTTAAACCAGTGGGGATTATGATGAAAAAAAAAAATTAGTCAGTTTAAGAGCTTCATTTTTTCTATTGCTGACCCAAATTGACATCAATCGGCTTCTTATGGGAGAAGTACTATGCCCTCTGGTGGTGAGAGACACTCATCTGGTTTCTATGGAAAAGGTCAGCAGAACAGAAAGTGGAAAGAGAGCCTTTACCTAGAGGTTTCTGGAAATCTATCTCCTTATTTACTAGTCACATAGTGACCTTAATGATTGAATTTGATGTAATAATTTTTGATTCAATGAATAGTCAGCTTTAGAGAATGCCTGGGCCAGGCCGGACCGAGAAAGGTACAAATTTAGGAAGGGAGTCAAAGTTGGGTCAAAGCTGAAGTGTCCCCAACATGAGTACCAAAGGAAACAGGGAAGGGCCATTTGAACTATAAAATTTGTCAAGATCCTGTCTGTTCACTGTGACAAGGGTGAGAGTGTACAATACACCTCAGGACGAGCTCTGGGCAGAATCCCGGGGCTGTAATTGCCCAGAGAAGGCTGGCTGCTGGCCAGACAGCTCCCCAATGCCCAGCTTTGAATCTCTGGAAATGCCTTTTCTTTCTTTTCTTTTTTCTTAATTTCTAACATTTAAAAGACTTTTTTTCCCCCTGCGTGTAAAAATTACATGTGGCCTATGTAAAAAATTATGAAAACTTTTAATGAACTAAAAATCACCTGAAAACTGTCTACATTGTGATAAGCACAGTTGACATTTTCAATGACATTTATTTCAGGTAATTCTGTACATATAACCATAGAGTAAATATACATTAGTGAGATCATAATATATCCATTCCTTTATAACTTGCTTTATTTTTCTTTCAACAATGTGTGGTAAGCATCTTTCTATCCAAGTATAGATATGTAATTTAATTTTTAAAATTTTAAATTATTAAAATTATATATGCTTACAATAAAATGAAAATAATAGTTTAAAAGTTAGGAAAATGAACATTTTCCCATCTCCTAATTCCATTCCACAGCAGTAATTGCTTTTAACTATTTTGTGCATAACCTTCCAGATTTGGTAATGTATATATATATTTACATAAGTAATTTTTTTATACAAATGGGATCATGTGGTATATATTGGTCTTTCATGAGCTTTTTTCACTTAATGATGTCATGAACATCTTCCCATGCCAGTGTGTGTGTGTATCCTGTTCCTTTTAGTAACTGCATAGTATTTTGTCTAGATGAACCATGGTTCATTTAGTCAGTCACCTAATGATGAATAATTAGGTTGTTTCCAGTATTTGATATATATATATATACCTTGCTGGATATTTTTGTAATACATCTTGGTATACATGTGTAGTTATTGCTAAAACATAAATTCCTAGAAGCAGGTCAAAGGATGTGCATGTTTAATTTTATTTGAAATCTTAGTATTTTATTTTATAGATAAGACATTTGATAGCCCAAATATTTCATTATATTGAAATACAAGAATTTATTTAACCATGATCATATTTTATGGTTACATCATTCCTTTTGCTATCACAAATAATACAATAATAAGTATTTCTGTATGTAAATCATCATCATATCAAATAGTGTCATTAGGATAGATTCTTAAAGGAATAATTATTGAGTCAAAAAATTTGGGTTTATGACTTAATTCATACTACTAAAAAATTGCTTTCCAGAAAGGCATATCAACTTATGTTCTCACTATCATCCTTCTACTATTAGAAAAATTAAAAATGTGCATCTTCTTACACATTTACTGGCCATTAATTTTTCTTCTCTTAATTGCCTGTTTATTTTTCTGTTGGTTTGAGTTTTCCTTGTATTTTTTGTAGGAATTTTCCGAATCTGTTCATTAATTCATTGAGCCAATAAACAAATATTTGATCACCTACTATGTGCCAAATACTATTCTAGGTACTGGTGGTGAATGCAGCAATGAACAAAACATACCGAAACTATACTCTAGTCAGGGAGAGGGGTGCAGAAAGTAAACAACTATATGTCAGGCAGAGATAGCGGTATAAAAACAAACAAACAAAGCGTAATAAGATGGAGAGTGTAAGGAATGCTATTTTATATGGATGGTGAGGGAAAAGTCCTTTAACGGAAACCTGTAGTACATGAGGAAGCAAGCTATTTAGAGAAATTCCTGGGGAATAAGAACTTCAGGCAGAGGGCACAGTAAATTCTTCACAAATTCTGCATATTGATCTTTCCCAGAATATCATCTATTTTTAATGGTTCCTTATAGTGTCTTATACAGAAGGTTTTGGTGGTGTTGTGGTCAAATTTGGCAGTCTTTTCCTATTCATGACTTCTGAGTTTTATGATTGAGAAGAACTTTTCTACCCCCAATTCATAAAAGTATTCTCCCAGATTCATTCTATTTTCATACTTTTATTTTTAACAGCTTTTTTTGAGGTATAACTTACATATAAAATTCACCCCTTTGAGTTTACAATCCAATGATTTTTAGAGTTGTGTAACATCCACAATCCAGTTCTAGAATTATACTTTGATTTTGTTATATGTAGCTTTTAATATGTCTGAGATTCAGTTTAGCTTTTGGTGTGAAGTTAAAGACCTAACTTTTTTCTTCTTTTCCCATTAATTTTAAATCTCTCCCTTACCACATACTAAACTTCCATATATACATGGATCCGTTCCTGGTCTCCCTATTGCAGGGGTCACAGGCTAGGTTTTATTTGGCCCATGGAGTTTTCAAAACTGGGAAATTTTGCATAAAAACTCAGAATTTTGGCTTTTCTGGAAAAACTAGAAGATCCAGCAACAGCCCGATGAAGGCAATAGAGACCACTCATTTTAAATAGGCATGAGAGTCGTGACCATAATCCTAGTTGTCCTAGGACAGTCCCCATTTATGCATGGTGTCTCAGTGAAAATTAATACCATCCTTTCATTCTTAAAAGTGTTCAGGTCTGGGCAATAAATTATGAGTCACAATCTCCATCATTCCTTATTGCATCACACCCAGCACTCCTCTTTCGTTTATAAGAGCCCTCCCAGGAAGGGAAGAAGGGAGCAGACGACGAGGTCCTGCCACAGAAGTTTACCAAAGGAATGATTATATGGGCTCAGAGTAGACATAACTGGTGAGGAAATATTAGGACGTTTCCTTGACAGAACATGATATCGCAATTTACGAATTCCTCTCCCTTGTTATTTCATTTAACTTCACAACAACGTATCCAGTTTCGCAATTTACCCACTTAGTTACTGTGTATTTATTTGTATATGGATTTGCTGTCTTCCCCTGTAACCTGCATTCCAAAACAGGACCCGGTTAGTCTTTTCTGCTTACCAATGTATTCCCAGTAACTTGTTCGGTACCGAGGGTAGAGCAGGCCCTAGGAATTACATATTGGCTAACAGGCTCCCAGGAACTATTGATTGCTTGAACTAAGGAGGAAACTGACGCACAGGGAGTCGAGGTCCGCGGCGAGTCGAGGGCGGAGAGAGGCAGGCAGGGAATTAGACCAACCAGCCTGATTCCCAGCCTGGAGCCCAGGATCTTTTCCAGGCCAGTTGGCTGTAACGTCCCCAAACAGACAAGAAATGAGAGAACGCACACGCATGGACTTGTCTTCCGCCTGGGAGGCCTCACAGAAATGCGGGACCCAGAGGCGGAAAAACAACTAGTGCAGGAAACTCCACGTAATTCTTTTGCACCTGTCCCGCCTGAGACCGGGACTACATTTCCCAGGAGGCCCTGCGGCGCTCACGTCTCTGCCACGCGGCTTGCGTCTCCGCTGACAGCCCGCTGGGGGCGCTGCGGCGACCCCTCCGCCGCCCCGTAGAAGTCTCCGCGGCCCTGGGGCTGCTTGCTTCCTGTTTGTCGGACGAGGAGACATGGCGGCGGCGCCGGCGGCTGTAGGGTCTGGGGCCAGCCGAGGGCGACGGGCAGCAGGAACGGTGGCGGCTTGGGGCGGATGGGGCGGCCGGCCGCGACCCGCTAACATTCTGCTGCAGCTGCGGCAGGGCCAGCTGACCGGCCGGGGCCTGGTCCGGGCAGTGCAGGTACGAAGCCGGCCCTGAGGGGCGGGGCGGGGCGGACCAGGCGGGAGCTGGCAGGGGGCCGGGGAAGAGGCCCTTCCGGGCCGCCGCAGTGTGGGCCCGACCGGACTTGGCCAGCAGTGAGGCCTCCCCGTGGGCTGCACGGACCATGTCAGCGCTGTGGGGCGGTGGGCAGCGGCGGTCTAGAGGCCTCTGGTTAGGGGCCGAGCGGGACCGGGCTGTATCGGGCATTGATGGCGTGTACGAGCCCTGGGCCCAGCTCTTGGATCCTGCCTTCCTTGCGCCACGTCTACACGTCTGGGGTACCCTAGGCGAGTTTGCTTTGGTCTCTGCGGGCCTCGAGTTTCTCTGCTGTGAATTGGGCGGTGGGTCATCATTGCAGCCCCGAATGGTTAAGCTTATGTCATTCTCTTAGGCCTTTCCTTGACACCCCCTCCCACTTCAAGTAGGTCCCCATTGTTATTCAGTCATAGCCCTGAATTCGTTTTGTTCACATAACTTTCTCAGTGTATAATTACATATTTCTTTCTTATCTGCCCTTCTTTTCCTCAGTATCTCACATTAGGCTGTGCTCCAACGGTTGCAGGGTCTGTTTTGCCAGTGCAGAGTGTCACGGTTAAGAGGCAAGGACTCTGGAGTCAGGCCTGGATTAAAGTCCTGCTCTCTGTTGCTTGGGCAAGTTACCTTCCTGTGCCTCAGTTTCCTCATTTGTAAAGTGGAGATAATAGTAACCTACCTCTTAAAGTGTTGTAAGAATCAAGGAGACAGTTGTGTACAATATTAAGTGCATTTTTGGTGCATAGTTAGGGGAGAAGTGTAATCAGTTAATATTAATGCTGTATGTGGTATCTGGTCTATAATAGGTGCGCAGTATATGGTTAACTTTTGTTTTTTTTTTTGAATGAACGAAGGCCACTGCTTTAGGGTAAAGCAGGCTGAATAAGATCTAGGCTCCTTGTTATGCCCCCTACCCTTCCATATTCCCAGAACTAACCTTGTAAACACACTTGCAAAGCATTAGCTTAATTTAAAGACAGTCTTTGCATAAAAAACTTTCGAAGGATACACAAAAAAGTAATAAAGTGCTTGGTGGGAGTGGGGTGGGTATTGGGTAGATGGAAGAGAAAATGTGAGTGAGACTTTTCACAGTATAACTGTATGTGTGTATTAATCTCAACCATTTGGATATAATTTATGTGATTAAGAAGACAGAGTAAAATAAAGACCAGGTGGTCTGTGTGTATGGAGGGCTACAGATGAAGAAGCAGTTCTGGGTGAGCAATATATTCCTGGACGTCGATAATCATAGATGAGCAACATTTTTCCCGTGCCATTCTGCTCTATCTGCCTTAAGAAGATCCTGGAAATACTTGCTGTATCCTTCTTTAAACCCGAATAGCTTTTTGAGCTGGGCCTTGGGGACATCAGAAAGGGAACTAATTCACCTTCACTGAGCAAATACTTTGGATCAAGCATTGTGCAAGATATACAGTGTCTTAATTTAATCCTCAGTCTTTTTGCGTTAGATGTCCGGACTAATCCCTTAACATAGATGAGAAACCCGACCCCCCACCCCCCCAAAGGTGAGATAATTTGCTCCTAAATACCATCTTGATAATCCTCTATGTTCTGAGGGCATTAGGGAGCCACAAAAGTTCTTTAGCATAGAGAATGAGGCAATTTAGGACACTTAATTCGTTTTCAGAGCTGGATGACCTGGAATGAGAGGAGAGTAGAGAAGCTCACTGGATCGAAAGCTACTGGAATATTGGTTTAGGATGGTTATTGTGGTGATCGATAGTTGTCTACAAGTGTAGGAGTTATTTCAGAGGTTGAGATGGCGACACTTTCCCAGAACTACGGTGAGGATAAAGTGGGGACTTTCATCTTTCAAATGTGTACTTTCTTGTTAAGTTTCCTTGATCTCTTCCTTGCCACACCTCCCCCCTCTTCCTTCTTCCCTTTCCCACACTGCAGAATAAATTAGTTCCTCACGGGTATTTCCATAGCACAGTAAGCACATGCATGATGGCATGTGGTAGACTGGGAAAGACCAGATTAAAAAAAATTGATTGTGGTTAAAAAAACACAACAAGTTTACAATTTTTAATTATACAATTCAGTAGTGTTAAGTATATTCACCTTGTTGTGAAACAGATCTCCCTAATTTTTTCATCTTGCAAATCTGAAACTGTAACCATTAAACAACTCTCCTCCTTCCCCCCAACCTCAGCCTCTGGTAATACCATTTGACTTTGTTTCTGTGAATTTAATTACTTTAGATATCATATAAATGGAATTATTCACTTAGAATAATGTCCTCAAGGTTCATCCATGTTGTAGTATGTAATAGGATTTCCTTGAGAAAGATCAGATTTTCAAGTAAGATGGACCTGAATTGAACCCTAGTTCTCTTACTTACTAGCTAAGGGACCTATGATATTTAACTCTGAATCTGTTTCCTTATTTCTAAAATGGCAATAATAACATCTCTCAGGGTTGTTAGGAAGATTAGGTAAAATCATATGTTCAAAAAAGCTTGGCAAGTATATGGCATATAGATGTTCAGTAAATAGTTGCTATCAGCTTGCAGCTATTAGACTGAGCTGCTTATTTTTCTTTGTGTCGGCAGAGGCTGAAATGGCACCAGGCACTTGATAGGTACTCATATCTCAGGAAATTGTTTGAATTGAAATACTGTATATAAGGGCACAGTCCTCTTCCTCCTCAGTCCTGTTCTGTCTGTATTCCCAAACACTTCCTTGGATTTAAAGATTCCGGAATCAGATTACCTAGGTTCGAATCCCAGCTCTGGTACATACTTGCTATGTATCTCTGGGCAAGTTAGTAAATTTCTTCATCTGGGTTTGTTCATTTGTAAAATACAGATAATCATGAGACTAACCTCCTTATGTTGTAGTTAGGAGTGAGTTAGTACATGTAAAGCACCTAAAATAGTGTCTGAAACAGTAAGCATGCTATAAAGGTTAGTGAGTATTGTTTTTAAATACTCTTTATTCTAGTGGATCCTAAATCTGTATTTCTATCCTGATTTCTCCCTTTTACTCCAGATGGATATATACAAGTACCTTCTCAGCATCTTCAGTTAGATTGCTAATGGGCATTTCAAACTTAACATGTTAAAAATAAAATTCCTGATTCCTCTTCCACCAAACCTGATCTTCCCCAGCTCTTCCTCATTTCCCTAAATGGAACTTCCGAGAAGCCTGGGAGAAGACTCTCGGCTACATTATTTAGAATGGGCCTGTCCTACTTAGATTTGAGTGTGTCTTATTTCTGTTTCCCTTTCAATTTGCCCTCTGTCGAAGTAATAAAATATGCTGGTATGATGCTTTAGCATTTACAGAGCCTCTTCACGCTTATCAGCACATTCAATCCTCAAGTCATAAATTCCTTGCTTAAAACCCTCCAGTGCTATCCCATTGCAATTAGAATCAAATCCAGATTCTTTACTGTAGATGTACAATACCCTGCATGATCAGTAGGAGTGGAGGAAAAGGGGTAGACTAGGTAAACTGTAGGCTGTAGGGCAGAATAACTCACAGGTCATGATGCACCACCCCCTAGAGATAACTCCTTCAATTTGGCAGTCTAGTGACAAGCTAGGTTATGGCATCCTTGGTCTGTTTCTCAAATGCTAGTTATTGGTTCCTTGATTATTGGCATATCCAAATTCAACCTGAGTATTACCTCATATTTTTTTCTTTGGATGGACTCTCCATGAAAAAAAAAAATTCAATAGGTACTACTTGTTTTAACCTTATTCTAAGTATTAATATTTATGAAATTTAGGGGTTTACGTCAAATACAGTCTTCCCTTGCCTGTCGTGGGTAATTTGATACTGAAAAACCCCTGTGTAGGATAAATTCTTATAATTTAAAAACATAAATACCATTATATTTTGTATATACAAGCCATAAAATTCACTCCAAATTATATCAAAACAAAACAAATCCCATTAAAGTGGACACAAGTATTCTTGGTTACCATTTGTTATCAGAATAAACTAACAGGATATTTAATCTTCATTAATTATCCTTTAAGACAGCTATTTACTTGCACTTAGAATGATATTTTGAAGCACTGGCTATCTTAGGACTAAATAAACAAGTAAGATAATACATTGATGTTTATGGAATTCAGCCTTTAATTATTTAAAAAGAAAAGCAATAAAGAAAACAAGTCATTGAAAACTGGAAATGTCACATTCACTAACCAGGCTGATATGATAGCTCAGGCAGCATGATGTAAGAGATTATCACTAGTATAAACTGTCAAACCACAAGTACTCCAAGAGAAAAAAACCCATACAAAACCTGCCAATAATTCAAACTTTGAAGA